TCCCTCCCTTCCTTCCTTCAAATATATTTTTATTGATTTCAGAGAGAGGAAGGGAGAGGGAGAGAGAAAGAAACATCAGTGATGACAGTCATTGATTGGCTGCCTCCTGCATGCCCCTGCCTGGGGATCAAGCCCCCAACCCGGGCATGTGCCCTGACCCGGAATCGAACCTCAGATCTCCAGGATCATAGGTGGATGCTCGACTGCTGAGCCATGCTGGCTGGGCTGGAGTCCCTGCTTTCAATTCTTTTGGGTGGAATTGCTGGGTCATATGGTAATTCTCTGTTTAATTGCACTATAAAAGACAGCAGGGCAGGCCTCTGGGCAGGCAGGTATGACTAAGGAGGGTACTCCTGGTGAATAGGTGAGCAGACAGGCAGGGGAACCAGGCTGCTGTCCTGCCAGAAGGGACTCACATAAGTGACCCTCAATAGACCTGGGAATGAGGTGAGGCTTAGAATGACCCAATCCAGAGTGCAGTGCCCTGGGGGATGGGGTGGGTTGAGGAACACCTCTCCCTGGTTGGCAGGAGGGTTCATTGAAAGGATGGGTTCTGAAGATTGGCTTCCACCAACTAAAGCTGGGTATTCAGTTCTGACTCTGGCTTCTGTCTTTTTCTTCCATTCCCTGAACCTCAACTGTGGATATAACTCCTGGATTAAGAAAATGCAAACCCCTGCTTCCAGCCACACCTGAGTGTTTGGGGCCCATGTTAGCCTATTCATAACCAATGTTGTGACTGTACTAGCCCTTGTGGTTCTTATGATTGCAAGATGCATTACAGGATATGGAAATTACATAGCACACCTGGGGCCACACAGTGAGGTTATGGGGGGAGGCAGAGAGAGAGGCAAGAGAGAGAAAGGCCTGGGGTTCTTTTTTTTTTTTTTTTTTAATGTTTTTTTTGTTTTTAGAGGAGGGAGAGGGAGAGAGAAAAATATCGATGAGAGAAACATCCATCAGCTGCCTCCTGCATGCCCCCTACTGGGGATCAAGCCCACAACCCAGGCATGTGCCCTGACCAGGAATCAAACCTGTGACCTCTCGGTGCATTGGACAATGCTCAACCAATTGAGCCACACCAGCCAGGGAAGGCCCGGGGTTCTTTTATTGTGGTAGAGGGTGGGGTCTAGGGTTTCATGAGCTCACTCTTTATTGGTGAATTTAAAGCATAGAAAGAAAAAAAGTGGCCCAAATGGTCAACCAAAATCTCTAAAACGAAGGACCCTCAGTGGAGGAGGCAGCCTGGCTCTTCATCTACTTGTGTGGCTGGCAATGTATTTATCGGAAATGGCCATCCTCGAGGTGGATGCTTCTGCAATCAAAGTTTAATCAGGCCATTGCATTACAAAAATTTAAAAAACCCAACTTTCATGGCTCATATACAAACCTAGTTAAGTCCATCCTCCCCTCCCCCATCACAGGTTCACCCTGGTGCCAAGTGCCACCCTCGTGGTCCTGTGCTTGGAAGCCTCCCAAGTCCCAGGCAAGGGTGAACTGCTTCACAGAATGTGTATGTGTGTGTGTGGGGGGGGGGGNGTGTGTGTGGGGGGGGGGCACGGATGCTTGGGATGGGGGAAGGGATGGGGCAGAGGGAGGTGGTTCTTTGGGACGGGGCTAAGCGTTTAGATAGATAATGCATGGGGCAGAAAGCACAGTATGTATGTGGGGGGAAACCAGAGGTGTGGGAGGGCACCTGGAATCAGTTGTTCAGCACAGGACACCTGAGAATGGCTACCTCCCTCCTCACACTCCCATGCCCTCCCTGCCACAGGCCCCTATCAAGTTTCTCTACTGAGACCCCGGCATAAGTTGATGAAACTACCAGAATGGCACCTCCCACCCACCCACTGGGCTGGGAAACCTCAGATAGGATCTTCTAGGCACCTCCCAGCCTCCCATAATCTTGCCTCCCCCCCCAAATCCTGGCTCTACTAGGAAGTCTTTACTGACATGGCCTCCCCCTTTCATATGACTTAGTAGGGTGTGGAAGTTGGGGGTACCTTGCCCTGCAGAAGGCTGGGTTCACCTCTCACCATATGCATTTTCTCCCTCTTGACCTTCCTTTCTTCCTCTCTTCCCCCAAATTCAGGGTTTGTCCCTAAATTCCCAGGGCTACATTCTCCCAGTAGTCCTCTCCACCACCAGGTAGGGGTTTTCCTGGGGTCTGGGAAAGGCTCTGGGCATGAGAGGAGCGGATGCTTCCAGGGACCCTGGGGGACCTGGCCTCCTTGGCTCAGAAGGCAGGGACAGGGACCCGGACGCCGAACCGCCGGATTGGTCGATGGGGCCGGAGGCGTGACGGTCCCGCCCCCTGGTTGCCCGGGCGGTGTGCGTGTGTGTGTGTGTGTGTGTGTGTG